CACAAAATTAACTCACAACACAACATGCATGTAAATATTGAATTTTTTATTTAAAAAAAGAGAAACTTTTACCCAAAATCAGGCAAAGCAGGCAGGCAGATTGAGTTGCTCACAGAATCACAGATTCATTCAGAAATCTATCTATTTGCCATTGGCTAGCTCAGTCTGTCACATAAAATTTGCTTGCAAGCAAACTCACAAAATTAACTCACAACACACAATGCATGTAAATATTGAATTGTTTTATTAAAAAAGCAACTTTTATCCAAAATTACGCAAAGCAGGCAGATTGAGTTGCTCACAGAATCATTCAGTGATCTATCTAGCTGCCATCAGCTAGCTCAGTCTCTCAAATTTGCTTGCCGTGAGTCTGCACTGAATTTGCAAACCTTCAGTCCTAAGGGAGGTTCGGCTGTGCTTAGCTAGAAAGCAAGAAATCCAACCATTTCCTGCTTCCTAGCTAATCTAAATCTCCCAGCACAGCAAAACTGATGATGCTTGGAAAAAGGAAAAATAGCAACTTAGCAGACAAGTTTGCCGGGTAAGGAGTGAGTGGGCGGGGAGGGTTCCCGCGGGCCATGTGGGCTGAGCAGCCTTGTGTTTCTGTGCAGCCTGGATTAATTGCTTGGGGGGATGCTCTGGGGGTGAGATTTCTCTGCAGCCCACCAAAATTTTGCCATTTTAGTCCCCTAAAGGAAAGAAAAATTCAGAATAAATTAGTTGTTCTTTTATCTATTTAATTTCCTGAAAGTTCAAAGCTTCCTGATAATACAATAATGCAGTAATTTAAATTCAGCACAATAGGATGGAATTTATAAATTTTTCAATGTTAAAAATCTGTTGTTTTAACTATGTGTAATGTTTTGGTAGCAAGTAAGTTATTTAACATTTTTCCAATTATCTATCTTTGGCTTTTACTGAACGTGAATTTTCTTAAGACTAAAAGTATGCCTGAATCTATATGGATATCTGAAAGTAATGATTATTTATTAAAGGAAGTAGAGGATTTGATGTCTGATTCTGCATCTGATGCAATTCTCATGGCACTATAGAGGACTTGTAAGATAGGAAAAGAAAATGTTAAACCACAGTTTTCCTCCTTTATAGATCCAACAGGTTTCTTGCATCTCCTGACATTTTATTCTTTTAATTTATAAAACAGACATAAAAAACTGACATTCTGCAAAACAGCTCACCAGCCTATAATATTATATATAGATGCAAGAATGCTTAGGTAAAAACCTAACAGGGATGATAGATGGCATCTTGGAAAGAATTAATTTGCCTTCTGGTAAATTTTAATGCTTGAGTTTAGCAATTTGGCTGTATGAGCAGCATTTAGGGACTAGATAAATTTGCCTTGTCCACCATTTTATGAGTGTTCATCAACATAGCCTCACAATTCCAAATGTTTCCTTGTTTTGGCATAACAGAAAACAAGGTAAATATATAACATTATGCTCTATTCAAGTGGATATTTCTATTTCTATGCTTATTCCTATTCCTATTTTTGTTTTGTTCTGTTCTACTCTATGGAAACAGAGCAACATGGTTTCAATTAAAGCCTGGGAATTGAATTTAAGTGTGGAAATGACAACATTTTAAGCTTTAGACTACACAAGAGATAAAAACAGGTGGCTATTTGAATACAAGGAGCCAGAATTTAACTGCTTTCATTCTTTTTGAAATGAGGGAAGTTAAATAGATACAAAAGAGGAAGGGAGTAGAGGAAAAGAAACTCACTTATCTTTTACATTTTTAAACTTGGCATGGAGAAACTAATCTGCTTCCTAAAATTTTCCATCTTTATGATTGTACATTACATGCTTTATACTTAATGCCAAAGCTGGAGCCAAGAAAACTCCACTTTGTCTAAAACTCCACTTCGAATTTTGATTAAAATTTCCTGCTTTAAAGTGGAGTTTTGTCTGATTTTTATTTTATTTTCAAGCTAGGACACAGATGATAATTATTCCAGCTGTGTCCTCCCTTTGGAAATGTTGAACTATCTAAAAAGGTTTTTACAGAGAAAATGGAAAACACATCTGTTTGCTATGTATATTTGTAGAAATATAAAATATTTTAAATAAGAAAATATTTTTTTAAAAATGTTTAATATTAATGCATTAATAGTCAAAGTAAACTGTAGTGAAGTGTTTCCTTTTCATTATTTTATTTCTGTATTATACATTTATACATTTAATGTGATTTTTTTTTTTTGTTTAGGCATGTAATAACTTATAAATAATGTATGGATTCTCCAGCTTGGTGGTATTACTTATTTTTAATAATAACATTGTATGTATGTATGTATGTATGTATGTATGTATGTATGTACGTACATATGTATGCATGCATTTGCAATGTACTATAAATAGACCACTGTATTTCCTAAGAACTTATGACAGTATGCAGTTAGAATACATTCCAATGATTCAATTACAGAAGGTCTGCAACTTACAACTATTCATTTAGTGACTGCTCAAAGTTACAATGGTACTGAAAAAAGTGACTTATGACAAGTTTTCACACTTATGACCATTGCAGTATCTTGCAGCTTTGCAACTGGTTCTTTCACTGTCCTGGAGTAATGTAATCACCATTTGTAATCTTTCCAGATGGTTTCTGACAATTTAATAAGCAACAATATTCCTTATACAGCTAGTCCTCAACTAAATATCCAAATTGAGCCCAGAATTATGATAATAAATTATTGTAGTTGTAAATTGAGGCACCACATGAATAGATTTGAAGTTATAGCCATTTTTTACATTGGTTATTAAGTGGATGGTGCCGTGGTGAATTTTTCCCAATGGATCCTTTTTTTTCCAGGAAATGAAAATAAATGCTGGAAAATAGCAAAAAATGTTTAAATCATAAGTCATGTGGCTGCAAGATGCTGCAAACAGCCACAAAGGTGAGGATTGAAAGCACCCAAAATGCAACAGTGTGACTGTGGTTGTATGTTTTTGTGCAGCCACTGTAACTCAAAAAACAAGTTGCAAGTAGCTTTGAGGAGGTGTTTTGTAACTTTAAATGGTCATTAAATGAACCATCATGAGTGAAAGGCTATCTGTAAATGAACTTGGGTGGTTCCCAACCTTTCCTGCTTTGTGACTAGGGGGGGGGGGGGGAGAGGATGGTTCTGTGTGAGTGGGAGGCAAGCAGCACACACATAGCTGTTAATGCAAGTGTCGAATAGCTTAAGGCCAGTAGTGGGCTGTGGTCCAGTGATTGTACTTAATGCTGGTAGTCCTCAACATACAACCACAGCTGTGCTCACAATTATGATACTGTAATAATAATCATAGTTCTATGGGCCCCTTTAAAAGTGGTAATTTATCAATTATCTTTCAATATGAGTTTAAAAAACAAATTGCTTTGGAAGACTAAATCAATTATTTATCATGTTTTCTACCTTACATGATAATGGAAAGAGAAAGTTAGCTTTCTTCCCATAATTAATCTTTCCATTTGTTATCTACATATACAACAGCATTTCTCTTTAATACTGGATATTGTAATATCCTATTTCATCCTACACTGAATCAGAAATTTTATTTTAGCCCCTAGCATCACAAATTAAAAGAAACAGAAAAACACATAAGCAGAAGCTGCAACAATAGCTATTTATTAGCATAACACTTTTCTTAAAGATCTTGTAACAACTGAAATATATACAAAGTCTTACAGCATTTACACATTAAAAAGTTTCCTATTAGCTGACGAAGTATAAGATAGTGCTGCAAAATACTTCAAAGCATGAGTAATAAGAATAGTAATAATAATAATGAAAGAGACCACTGCACTTTTAACTTCTCTGCTATGCACCACAACTGCCACATTGATGTGACAGTTAAACCATTGGGAAGACACAAGTTTGTAAAAAAAAAAAAAAAGTGTAACAGATTGACGTGCAGCACTGAACACTGGAGGGACAAGAATAAGGGACAACCAAAAATAAAGCTACATACTGTCATGTTTCTACAGTTCCTAGAGCTGTAACAAATTTCCACAGCCTTAAGATATAACATATTTAAGACAACAAAATGACACTTTCTCAGATATAATTCAGCTATATTTTGTGTTAAATTTTTGGGTAAGAAGTTCTTACACTGCTATGGCTGTGTATTTCCATTTTCTATTCATGAAATGCTCAACAGGTCTACAAAAATGTAGTCAGCAGCAGGAGCTTGTAATCATGATGTGCTTTGTCTATTTAAAGGCATTCAAGATCAGCAAACAGGATTTTACAACTCCTGTCAAAAGTTTAAGACAAAGAACCTTCCTTTAAAGGCATCATTATTTTAATTGTTCGCTATCTTATTTACTTTTCAAAAAATAAAAAAAATGCCCATTATTAGGGAAACTAAGATATGACAGATCTTTTTTACATCACAATCCACAGTAGTAGTTTAAAAAGTCTGAACTTTCCTAACTACTTATAGTATTTATAAAAAGACCATAAGAAGAATGTATGTATGAAGGGGTCTCTGGTTAGAATATTAAAACAGAGAACCTTGAAACACAGCTTGAAAAGTAAAAGAACAAAAAATGAAACAAGATGCATTACACATTGTAGGTAACAGAAACTTCATTTGATCCATTTTTCCACAAACTACTATGTAGTTCTAGCTAAGAGTTATGACAACCTTATTTTTGCAATGTCTCCTCTTTTTCTTTCTTGAGCAAATTAAGTTGTGCTTAAAAATATATATATAAAAAACACACAACTTCAAGAGACTACAATCTATTATAAAGAAGCCATATTACCATTCAATGTAAACAATTTATTTAAAGACAAAAGCCCTGTTTAGATTCTGGTCTTAAACTTTTGGCAGATAATGTGTGTATGCTCAGCCAGGCTCTGTAGCTAGTTATTATGCAAGTAGAAGCCTGGTCAGTTCACATGTTGACAGGCATGCAACTTGAAAACATTGCACAACAAGGAACATAAAAAGAGATCTGAGAAATGTATTAAGACTTCAAGTAGACTTCACAACCCTTCACAAGTGAATATACACAAATTAGTCTTTCTTTGCCTCCCCCCTCCCCTCCCCAAAACTCACTCACACATGGGACACTTTCTGTGACTCCCTAGCTTGTTTGATGCTGTATAACCACTTGATGATTCTGGCATTTCTTTCTATTGCAGAAATACCATATGGCACACGGTCATTGGCACTGTCATCATTTCTAAGGTCACTGTTGCTGTCCTGAGACTGTTCACAGTCTGAACTGATCATACTTGCACTGCGAAAGTTGAGAGAAATAATGTCAGAGTTAGCCCTTGCAAAATTTTCCATTCCAAGGTTTTCAAGCTCTTCAGGATCAAGTCCACAGTAGTTAAAGAACCTTTCAACGTCTGCATCAACTCGAAAGTATCTATCACTTAAGTCCGACTTCGATCGTTGAAGGGAAGGTCTTCTGCTTACTCCACAGGTGGATTCCACTGAGTCCATCTCTGGTGATTTCAATGTAGTGATGGTTGCAATTTTGGGTTTTGGAGGCAGAGGTGGAGCTGAACTACTGCAGGGTATTGCTTTTAAAGGTTTACCACTGGATACTTTTCTAATGTCTGAGGAACTATGCGAAACATGCAAGAAAGATTCTGCTGATTGTTCCAGTAGCCTTCTATGTACACTGGAGCTGCTTTCTTGAGGACTGTTAGAACCGCGGGTGGAATAAACCTTTAGGGATTCTGCAAATGAGTGACGATTTAAGTCTCCTGTATCAGATTTGTGGGGAGGCCAATTTCGCGAACTGTGTTTGTGACCTGAACCTGAACTGGAGCCCTCTGAACTGTTTATAATATTCTTCAAAATTTCCAACTTCAGGTTCTCTCTCTGGACACCACTCTCAGTCTTTGCATTGTTGCTAAATACTTTCAAGGTAGGGCTGCCCAAGGCTCGCTTAGCTGCAGGGCACACTGGCGGCTTTGGAAGCACTGCTGGCTTCACGGGTTCTTGTTTGGCGTTGATGACTTCTTGGCTTTTCACATATTTTGCCTTGTCGGCTTCCAGCCTCTCAACAGCACTAAGTCTTTTTGGATTAGGCTCCGTTTGCCTGCGAAAATAATCAGGTCCTTTGTTTAAAATGCGGAGAGGAACAGCTGAAGTGAAAGTGATGGCAGGACTGACAGGTTTGACCATGCTACCTGTCTGTAGTGTTTCTGTAGGCATGTTTGGTGGCTTTTCCCCCGCAGCCGTTTTGAATTCCTTTCTGGGATCTTCTAAATGCACGGTGCAGAAACATGTATATTAAGCACAATGAATAGCAGATGAACCTTGGAATCTGAAGGTTAGCAGGAGAAGCAGCAGTGCTTCATTTCACAGCTCGTTAAATATCAGGGATGTTTCCTTCTTTTCTGTCCTCCACCCCCACCCCCCCGCCCCCTCCCCGGCAGCTTTTGAACAAACAAGCCACCAGAAACAAGCCAGTATTAATCTTGCTCTGTTGGTTTCTTTCTTCTCACTGAAGGATGCGGAAGTCTCTGCGGTTTCTTTGTGTTCCACTACAAGCAGTGATCTGAAACATAAAATAGCCAACCACATGTTAGCAATGGTGTGTGATATCACCACTGTAGCAACAGCCTTCTCTTCTTTCCCACCCCTTCATTTGCTAGCTGAGCTAAAGCAGTGGGTCATTCTAGCTGATGCATTTCATCACAACAATACTGAAAAACATGCCTTTTACTAAGACTGTAAGCAAAGTAAGGATTACTGCTCTTCTATTCAGGTATAAGCATGCATTTAATTGTGATACTAGTTTCTCCCAATTTAAGTCAAGGGTTAATTTAAATGATCTAACTATTACAGTTACATAGTTCCAAGCTTATACTGCATACATAATTTACAGTATATGGCTTCTGGCTTTCTCAAAGCTGAGTCTATCGTTTGAGTAAACAGGCAGAGTGAAACAGGTTTTAGCTAAAAATAAAATGTCTATTGTCTTCTCTTTTATATCCTTAAGACAGAAGAAACCAGAACTGTGGGAGTTTGGGGCTTGTTGTATAGTTTATACTGAACAGAGTTTATTTGGAATTAAAAAAAACAAACATGTATTTATTATTTATGCCTAGATTACAAATATTTCAGATGATCTTAAGATCAGAATAATATTTATTTTATGGAACCTTTTTTTAATGACAAACACTTCCACTAAGAAAATATAGAAAACTATACATGGCGACCTGAAACAGCTTTGCAAACGTAGGGGGGGGACCTTCTCTTATTTCCTTTGCATATTCTGTTTGAATCTAAGTTCAGCCTTCTCTCCTTACTTTCATTCCAGTCTTCCCCCTCCATCTGTACTTCCTGTAAATCCTCTATTTTCATTACCTGCTGTTTCTAGTCAGAAATAGATGACTTCCTTTCAATTACAAACTTTGATAACCAAAAGAAGAAGAAAATAGTTGTGATATTGGAAAGCTAAAAAGTGTTACTACATTCTGTCTCTGGGACAGATGCTACTAAGATAATTGAAAGACAGGATTTCTGACAGGCAAACAAGAGTTTATCCTATTAAGCAGAAAAAATAATTACAACTTGAGTAGTAACCATTTAATTACTTAATATCATAAGGAATTATTAGCCATGAAAAAGCAGTGTAATATCTGGTATATTGCTACAGGACACATATTTATGATTAGCTACTGTTAGGGGAAAGAACAACATGACAAATATATGGTCTTCACAGTATTTGGTGACTGCCATGAGAAGACATAATTCCAGTCTAGGCAGAAATTTTTTTTAAGCCAATATGGTAATTGTAATTAAACAACTGTAAACAACTAACATATATATTGCAAGTTCTATTAGGTGGCATTCACCATGTAACTGTTTTGGTATTAAAGTGGTAGTAAAGCTAATTTCTCATTTAAGATTGCAGTAATAACTCAAGTTATTTTAAATGATACTTATGGAAATATGTTAGACTCTCAGGGAGAATGTTAACTTTTCCCTTCAAACAAATGGTTTGATTTCCCTTACATTGTCTCATCTTGATCTTCAGCTTTAAAATATTCCATTTCAACTCTCAGTGAAGTAAGACAGAACAACAGTGTTGTCATAAACCATAATTAGCCATGATTACCTTATTATAAATTAAAATCCTTTCATGTTTCATTATTATATATGACATGTACATGAAGCCAAAGAAGTAACCTTTTCATGGCTAATTTAACTTCTTGCTGCCGTAATGTTTCTCATTTGTTTGAATAAATAAACAAAAGTACGTTTCTTTATTCTCAACCAATGATAAACTATATAAATATTGCTGCTGGTTTTTTATAAAACAGCTTCCTTGTACAAAAACTGTATTTATGAAGGAACCCTTAAAACAAAAGGGGAGAGGCCAAATATGAAGATTTGCTACGGTATATGAATTGTCAACATGGAAGATTTTCTTCAGATCAGATAGCAGAGCAAAGCATTCTTCCTCATTACAATGTTTTGTTTTTTCAATGCAACTTCAAGTACAAATCTGTATACAGAACCTGTTTAAAAAACAACAGAAAACAAGACTAAATAGATTGCTCCTACAACTGAAGAATGCAACGAGTAAGATCTCCCAGGTATCATTCCTTCCCTGCCAGCAATTATAGTTGATTGGGAAGAAAAAACGTGACAATAGAATGGCCAAGTACATTAGTACAGCTTACTTGTATAATATTAATACTGTCAGAAGAATTCATCTAAACAGGAAAAATACAAGTGCTAAAACTGAAAATTCTGTTTAATGGAATAAACCAGTGTTTCTTTACCTTGACAATTTTAAGCTGTGTAGACCTCAACTCCTGGAATTCCCTAACCAGCATATTTATTGGGAATTTCTGGGAGCTGAAGTCCACCCAATTTAAAGTTGTCAAGGTTGAAAAACATTAGAATAGAAAGAAATGCAGTTTGGGACACATAATTTTAATTTCATTGTGGTCCTATCATTTCTGACTAGTGATCTAGGGGTTTGGACATACTTTGATAAAACATCTAGATCAAGGGTGTCAAACTTGATTTCATTGAGGGCCGCACCAGGGTTGTGTTTGACCTCGGGGAACTAGGGTTGGTATGGCTGGGTCGGTGTGGCCAACGCGACATCACTTGGGTCAGGGCCCCTGTGGTGGCCCAAGTGCTATTGAAAACAGGCTCCCAAGCTCCATTTCCGGCTCTGACGGCCTCCTGCAACCCTCTGCCAGCAAAAACAGAGCTGGGAAGCTCTTGAGTTCCATTTCCACTGGCAGAAGCACCACGGGCAGGTCCTTTGCTCTTTTCAGGGCGGCCCCGTGGGCCAGATCTAAGCACCCCATGGGCCAGCCCCATCCCACAAGCCATGACTGATCTAGATGCTGGAAAAAATGCAAAGTCTATGTTGGAAAGGTACTGAAAACAAAATCAATAGTATAAATCTTTTGTACAAATCTACAGAGCAACAATCCTAGGAACAGAACTATGTAACACCTCTGGATGAGAATAAAGTTCTGAATACCACCTCACAAAAAGAACAGAGAACAGCTGGAACACGTGCAGGAAAGAAAGGACAACCAAAATGATTGGAAGGCTTAAAAAACTTTCTCCCCAAGAAAGTTATAATCTTCAAGCTGTTTAGCTTTTAAAAAGGCTAAATAAATAAGAAATCATGATGTTTATAATATGTTTAATTACAAATCAATTAAATAATGATTCAGCATGGACAAAATTATCAATTAAAGCATGGAATTTATCATTTGAATATCTAGTAATGATTGCTTAAGTTTTAACAAGTGATTAAACAAAGTCAAGAATATCAATATTCACATATCATGATAAATATGCAGTAGTTCTACTCCCAAGAACAGCATATTTCTCAGTATCAAATATTCAGCCATGAGCAGGACAATACTATTATTCCTTGACTTGCATGAGACTGCAAATCACTCAGAAGTTCAATCCAGGTTTTGAATGCAGAAAGCACCAGGAATTTGTCAATTTGTAGGAAGATACAAATCCTGTCTATGTAATCAATTTCTATATACAATTCAAAACTTGCAAACCGATAACTGTGAAGGTTCCAGCTCATGTGAAACTGGTTCTTTACGTAGAAAATCCACAAGTACTTGAAGAGTAAATGCTCAAACTTCCTTGAATTCTGTATCAGAACATATATATGTTCTGATGCAGAATTCAAGGAATTCTGTAAGTAACCTGAAGCATCTCTCTCTGAAATATTACAAAGTTAGTACATCACCAGTGTCTGTCTACCACATCTCCCTATCCCAGGGCCTTGGAGAGTAGTTGATAGTTATACAAAATTGCCAAATCCAGTCTAAACATCTGGCTGATTGTACAACCAACAATAATACCGTACTAAAACCATACTTTGACAATGGGAAATAATATGTGCCAAGTTACAATAAAAGTCATTTGAATGGGTATAAAATAATAGCATATTTATCATTACTTACTATAAAATAACAATGCTTCTTTCTGTTCTAACATTACTTGCTATAAAATTAAAGCACCAGCTATTCACATATATAATGAATTTTAATATATAATTTAATATTTCATTAAATAAATAAATAATAATTTATATTAATAAATTAATAAATTAATTAATAAATAATATATTAAATGTGGTGAAATTTAATACGTCTTTTAAATACTGAGATATTAAATAGCATTAAGTGATATTAACAATTTTTAATGGACACTCCAGGCAAATAGTGACATTTATAAAATTGTTATAAAACAAAGCTGTGCTAAATTTCCTATTAGAAATATAATAATAATGCAAATTTAGTTTATTGAGAATACTGTGTTTACCAGCTCAACAAATATTCATTTAGCTTTATTATTTTTTATTATAACTATTGATTTTTAAATTTTTAAAATTCTTCTTGAGAAAATATATCTCAAGATAAATGAGATCTCAAACAGATAAGCCAGTGATGTTAAATAATTATATTCATTAAATTTGACTGGGACATTTCAAAGTTTTTATATCAATTATCTGTCTTCAATTTGCCAAATAGATTACAATTCTCAAATTTTAGATTTCCTTAGAATATTAAAATATATGTATATGTGTGTGAAAGAGACACACAGTGATTGTGTCCCAAAACATGCAATCCAATTTATAACCCAAGGTGACTTTTCTTATTTATCCTTCAATCATCTCAAGAAAACAGCTTATGTGACTTATATGAATAGGGGGGGGGAAATGGTCCAGAAATCTGGCTGCAAAATGGTGACGAACTGATGAAAAAGACTGTTAATATTTGGAAAGAAAATAATTTATACAATATATTGTAAACTCCAAGATGGTAGAAT